ATGTTGAAAATTGTCATTGCATTGTTCACAGTAGAACAGCATTTCCCCTCAAATAGCCCAAGCATTCCCTTAGACTGGAAAAACAACAACAATTTGGCTTGATGCCTTAGTGTGCTCACAGCCAATCACTGCAACGTTAGCCTTAAATGTAAATGCCTTTCCATCTCAGAGTCTTTATTTTAGCCACAAGGCTCCCATGAATGTTCAGCTTTACAGAAAGAATCCCCTCCTGGTTTTCCCTAGTGTGAGCTTTGTACTACAGCGTTGTCAGTTCTGAGGTAATTTTCTATCAGAAATGTAATGTTTTATATGCTGTTTATTTACTTATTTGAAACATCATCATCATCATTAATTTCCCCACCCTTCATCCTTAAACTCCAGGGCAGATTACAAGAATCAAAGCACAATAGTTCAAAACAGTTTAAAAAAAAATACAATCACAGAAAGAAGGTGGGTCTTGAAGATATACAGCTCAAGTGTCAAAAGCAGGGTAAAGTGGTATGTTTTTAACTGAGAAGATGCCAGACGCACCGTTGTGGAGAGGGAGTTACACAACTTAGGGGCTGCCCCAGAGGATGCTGTGTCCTGGGCCACCAACATGCTGAGCTTCTGAGGGCTGTGGAACAACCAACAGGGCTCCCTATGCTGATCTTGGCATCTGAGGGGGGTCTGTAAGGAAGGAGTGGGATTTATCGGGTATTATCAGGAGTCTCAGTCGTTTAGGGCTTTAAACACTAGTGTTAGCTTTGAATTGGACCCTGGGACAAACTGGCAACCAGTGCAGCTGCTTTGAAACAGGGTTTATGTGAGATCTGAAAGACATACATAATTAGAAAACACGAACAGTTTTTATCTGTTCTTAGTCTATTGTTATTTTAGCATTCTGAAAATTTTAAATTAGTCTTGTTAATTTTTCCTAGTGATAATTTTATTGTTTTATCTTTTTTTGTAAACCACTTTGAGGTGTTCTTTCTTTCTTTCTATCAGTCAGGAGGTGTTAATTTTTCCTAGTGATAATTTTATTGTTTTATCTTTTTTTGTAAACCACTTTGAGGTGTTCTTTCTTTCTTTCTATCAATCAGGAGGTATAAAGTTTATGAAATAAATAGATAAGATAAAGTAGAGGGATATAATAAGAGGACTTTTAGGAACATAGGACCCTGCCTTGTACAGTCAGACCACTGGCCCATCTAGCTCATTATTGTCTACAGTGATGGGCAGTGACCCTTTAGGGTGTCAGGCAGAGGGTCTCTCCCCACCCTACTTGGAGATTTAATATGGGGCTTCCTGCACGTAAAGCAGATGACCGACTTCTGAGCTAGCTCAGGCCAGTGTGATCGTCCCTTGCTGGTTCTTGCTTTTTATCCTACGTGACACGAGGGGAATATTCATCCTAGACATCTGACTGATCTAGATTGCCAAATAGCTCACATCCCATCATTTAGAAGGCATCATAATATATGTGTCCTTTACCACTTTCATGAACTTGGCAAACCACAGTTTTTAGAAGATGGCAGCTGGGAGTAATAAAATGGCGGCCAGTGTCACTATCTATAGCCGGCAGATGTGTGCAGTTATTGTCTGAGAGCAGTATTTCAAAATCCAACTGCAGTTCTCCACATGACTGAACTACGTAGGTGCCGAGTTTTGAAATCATGCTCTTGTTTTTCTAATTCATCACAGGATGTGCAGTTGGGAGGGGGGAAGAAATGCACAAAGTTCTGAAAAAAAAGAAAAAAGACAGATACTGCTAGCAAGCTGTGGTGACTGAGAAGCTAGTATTGCTTCTCGTGTACAATATTACAGCAAAGGAGAATTTCCTTTTCCTGCTTTTTCAACCCTCCATTAATCCTTGGGTTAGTTTGCATCATTTGTAAAAGCACAACATTAAAAACACCAAAACAAAACAAAAAAGCCTAACAGCACAGTCCTATATTTGTCTACTCAGCAAGAAGACTCATTGAATTCAATGGAACTTGCTCCCAAGTAAGTGTGCATAGGTAAAGGTAAAGGTAAAGGTACCCCTGCCCATACGGGCCAGTCATGACCGACTCTAGGGTTGCGTGCTCATCTCGCTCTAGAGGCCGTGACCCGGTGCCGTCCGAAGACACTTCCGGGTCACGTAGCCAGCGTGACGAAGCTGCGTCTGGCGAGCCAGCACCAGTGCAGCACACGGAAATGCCGTTTACCTTCCCGCTAGAAAGCGGTCCCTATTTATCTACTTGCACTTAAGAGTGCTTTCGAACTGCTAGGTGGGCAGGAGCTGGAACCGAACGACAGGAGCTCACCCCGCCACAGGGATTCGAACCACCGACCATACGATGGCAAGTCCTAGGCGCTGAGGTTTTACCCACAGTGCCACCCGTGTCCCCAGTGTGTGTGCATAGGACTGCAGCCTAAATCTCCAAAAATGAGCCAGGTCTTCTGTATTATCTCTTATGAGATATTAATAGATTCAGGTAGGTAGTCGTGTTGGTCTGACGCAGACGAAATAAATAAATTAAAAATTGTCCAGTAGCAGCTTAGAGTCCAACGAACTTGGTTCTGGGTATAAGCTTTCGTGTGCATGCACACTTCTTCAGATACCACTTCTTCACTTCTTCTTCAGGTATCTGAAGAAGTGTGCATGCACATGAAAGCTTATACCCAGAACCAAGTTCGTTGGTCTCTAAGGTGCTACTGGACAATTTTTTAATTTTGAGATATTAATAAATAACTATACCAAGCCCTTCAAAAAATACACCCAAGAGCTAGGATTGCTCACGACTTCAGTGGCAGTTTGATCAGCAGATGCTAGCTGGTGATAAATGTCAGAAGAAATTTCACCTTTTGATTTCTGTAGACCGCAAGATAAGGAGGCAGTGAGGTCTGTGGAGCCCCAGGTTGGCACTGGCAGAGTTGCCACCGCTGTTGCCTGAGAGCTTCCCCCAACCCCACTACTGCCTTGCTCTGCCCCATCAAGAGGAGCACAGCATTCCCACCACTGGGAAAATGCCACTGTTGGCATGGATTGTGCTCTCTTTGTAGCACCTAGTAGGGAAAAACAACTGAAAAGTTTCCCCTCCCAGTTGCTATAAAGGAAGAGCATTTACTGTATGCGAAATGCAGGCCCTCCAAGTGTCCCTATTTTCCAGGGATGTCCCGGATTTAGAGAAGCAGTCCCAGTTTCTGATTTGATCCTGGAATGTCTCCCTAGGACGTCCCTATTTTTATTGGAGAAATGTTGGAGGGTATGGAGTTATCCAGCTCTTAAGCTGTCTGAAGGAAATCCTGTATAGGGAATATTTTTTAATGTTTAATGTATTATTATGTTTTTTATATATGTTGGAAGCTGCCCAGAGTGCTGGGGCAACCCAATAAGATGTGTGGGGTAGAAATAGTGAAATTATCATTATGGAATGGGACGTCCCTATTTTCATCAGAGAAATGTTGGAGGGTACGGGAGTGAGGAAGTCTGAGACAAACTTCTGTTTGTCTCTTTCCCTCCCTCCCCGCACCTTCCTCTGGAGGTGTATCTAGTCTGCAGTGCAGCTTGGGCTTCCTTCCTTTTTGTCAGAGAGTCTACGTTTCCGTTTACACGCCTTGCATTTGTGCTTTGCAGACACGCTAAACTATACGGCAGTTGCAATAAATCAAGCTGTTAGGAGAGTCTCTTCCTCCCTCCCTCTCCCTCCCAAACTGTTCTGTGTCTCTTCTAGCCGTGTTTTAATAAGAACCTTGGTGACTTATGATGAGGCAGCTGCATTTGGAAATCCTGTCAGCTAGCAAAATGACACGACACTTTCTAAATCAGAAGGGAGACAAATACATTTTTAACAGGACCACCCAATTTCAGCACAAAATGATCCTTGCATGCGCACAGCTGGCTTCCTTGCCTTATAAAGCAAAAGCATGTGCGTATTTTCCTTTGGAGGAGTGCAGCTGTTTTTGCTTCATAAAGCTGCGCGCCATTTTTTTTTAAAAAAGTTTTATTTACTACAGAAGCCTATTATTTTAGCCATGTAAAGTGCTGCAGTATGATGATGATGATGATGATGATGATGATGATGAATGATATAATAACACTGCACACTGGGCTGTGTGGGGTGTTGGGGGATGGGTATCAACTCTGATGGGGGGCACATTTTGCTCCTTCTGGGATAGATTGCTCACCTTTGGTTTCCCATCCTTCACTCAGTTTTCACCTGAGGCTCAAAGAAGATGTCAGCAGGTGACATCTAGTATGGAAATACAACTCTGGGGGAAGCTTCACCAGTTCACATTCAGTCTGGAAGTCATTTTATGACGTTGTGGCGGAAGAGGGCACGTATTTGCATTTGATGAAGCATTTAAAGAAATTGGAGTGGGGGTATTTCCTTGGCTTTGTACATGTTTATTTCTCTCTGCATGGTTTGTGGACGCTGTGTACTTTCCCATCCTCACCTTACCTTTTATCTTTGCAACAACCCTGTGAGGTAGGTGAGACTGAGTTAATTAATACACGTGCAGCTAAGCAGCATTTGGTAGCTGCAGTTCGTGTAACGTTAGGCATGCAGACCCTGAAATGCTGAAATATATTATTTTGGGGGTGCAGTCCTGTACACACAGCTTCTTCAAGCTGAGAATTTCTTGATCCAAATCCCACAACAAAAGGGAACTCGGCAGGGCGTTTTCCTGTCCAGGCAGTAGCAGCTCTCCTCACGCCCTGTTTGTCAGCTGCCTGCTTTCTAACAAGGACGCTGTGGGGTGCATGACTGAAACACGCGCTCCTTGCCAGAAGCTGCCTGTCACTTGTGTGCTACCCCAGTAGTCTTTCAGCGGCTATCCTGAAATTTAGCTGTGTTTATATTACCGTGCTGCTGAAACCTCCCTCCTGCTTTGCGAACAGCAGAAAGGAATGCAGACTGGAGGAGACCAAGGGCCCTGCGAGGCCACCCAGATCAGAGAGTTTTGTGCAGAAGCCCCTATATGGCTCTGTTTGACAGAGAGATGGAGATGGAGCTCTGCTCTGCTCCTTGTTTGGGAAGCTGGTGGGAGGGGAACAGGCCAAGGAGCTATATAAGTCGAAAAGGTTCACTTTGCCAGTGCACCACCCCAGAACAGCTCTCCCCAGCCAAGCGCTGACAGGTAAGAGGCAGGGAACCAAAGAAGTGATTTCAGGATTTGCCTGATCAGTTTAGATAAAGAAAGAAGGGGGGGGGGGAGAGAGAGAGAGAGGCTTTCTTTGCTGTTTCAATCCAGTATATTGGTGGCGCCTAGGAGAGCTCATCACACAATAAATGAGTACATGTGCAATAATCCACGCCCATTGAGCTTAATTGGTGTTTGCTATTTTACTTCAGTGGGATGTTCCATGTACTCTTAGGTCGTGCTCCTGCTGTCTGATGCACTGCACATTTACTTGGAAGTAAGTCAGTCTGAACTCAGTGGAGTTTAATCCTAAGTAACTGTGCTGCAATTCTAAGGAAACATTCTTGGATGTGGGACTTATTTCTGAGTAAACAAGCCCTGGATTGTGCTGTTTGTCCTGATCCAATTAAGTATTTATTTTTATGAGAGAATTTAAGCACATGCCTTACTCTTCCAGTGAAATTGGTGGGGCTTAAAGAAGGATACTATAATTTTGCCTCGATTGTGCCATTGTCTTATTCTCTGACCCTCACTTTTGCATTTCCATTTCTAAGATGAAGCTGGTATGATGTTTATAAGCAATGTCATTTATAGCTAAGCCTCTGTAAGCCTTTCTGCCAGAGTATTTATTTCTCCTGCTGCATTGCTCTTTAAGCACCATCCTTGCTGGGAAAGAGTCTCTCTCTCTCTCTCTCTCTCTCTCTCTCTCTCTCTCTCTCTCTCTCTGTTATGATTCAGATTTGTTCCTAGTGTATTCTTGCTCTTTAGAAGCTGTGTGGATATTAGGCGTTGCATGAATCTGTACATTGTGAACCTGAAAGGGATTTCCCACTTCAGGTTTTTGACAGGTTCTTTTCACACCCTCACTGGGATTCTCAAGATTGGAATGAACTGGTGGATTGAGACCTAATTGAATGTGTGTGTGTGCGCGCATTTTCACATGGAACCCCTTCAGTTGTTTTGCCAAATGGAAATCATATGCATTCACTTCTAGTCATGGCCTTAAGTTCGGAGCAAGAGGAGATATGTAGCAGAAACTTGTGTTTTGCTTATGTCATGGTGTAAAGTGCCATTTATATACATTGATAGTGCTGCATAAATAAAATTACTATTACTACTTCACGTGCTGCTATTACTCCTAAGTAGTGCCTAGAGGAAATTCCTTAGAAGCAAGCATAAAAGCACAAAATTAAAACTCTAGTGAGTCATAACTTCACTCTGTCCCTTGTTCTGTGTAAGTGTTGATGTTAACTAACAAGGGTAAATTAAATTATAGAATGTAAATGCTGCAAAAAAGCATAATCCAGGGTGGCTAGATGCAAAAGAGGACATGGTTCTGCAGGTTGCATAGAAGTGGGATATTCAACAGGTGTGGCTTGTCATGCAATAAACAACTGTTGAAATCCTATCTTCTTTCTGTTCTTTGTCCCATTTTGCATCTTATTCTCCTAATAATAGCTGCAGCCTAGGTTCTCATGGATGCCCTGTACCCAGTTGGGGCTTGTGGGTAGTTCAGTGCTCGTATGTAGACCTGTGCCAGTGGAGGGTACATGCACTAGAATCCCTCCAGTCACACTGGCTCTGAGCATGGTCCTCTCCATGCCTCAAACACATAGCTATCCAAACTGGAGTGGCCAACATTTGTTGACATACCACAATATTTACTGTAGCATTTCCTCAGTATACAGTTGCCATTCTTCTCATGTATATAATGTACTTGCTGAACTCTGCCTATGATAATATATTTGGACATTTAATTATTAGAACACACGCGCGCGCACACACACACACACACACACACCACTCACTCACTGGGAAAAGCCCATTTTTTGCTTTTCCTGCATGGGTTTTTTTGTCAGTGTCTGACACCCCCACACCTGAGCTTTGCCTGCACTGAGGCTGCAGGTCATCAGGACAGGCCAGCTGCTTGTGCCCTTTCCACCTGCAGTCCAGTGCTTGTATGTGAGGAGGGGCCAGTGGAGAAAAGAGCGCAAAGCCCAGGGCCTTCTCCATCGTGACACCATCCCGGCAGAATTCCCTTCCGAAACAGCTTCATATGGCCCACTACTTCCATGGTTTTCTAGAGGGCAACTCTTCTCTTTATAGCCCAGCCTAGCACCTGCAAGGGACAGCGATAGTAAATCTCCACTCGTTTGTGTTCTTTAAATTCTCCTTGTGTTGATTTCTGTCATTTCAAGTTATAATTATTGCAGATATTCACTTGCACAGCTTTGACATATTGTGAGCCTGTTTGTTTGGAAAGTGGGGAAAAATAGAAGGATCCTCCTCCTTCTCCTAATCTCTAAATAAGCCACAATATGCAGACAGTATATTTCAATGAGATTTGCCTTTCCTGTAGCATACCTGGTATGCTGGGATGCCTTTTAGCTCTGTCAAGAAGCAAAAATTAGCAGACAATTCCACATCTTAGGACAGCTTTCCCCAAAGTGCTACTGCCCTCCAGATGATGTTGGAATACAAATCCCATCAGCTCCACTTAGTATCACCAATGGTCAGGGATGATGGGAGTTGTAGTCCACCAGCAGCTGGAGAGTACCAGGTTGGGGAAGGCAGCCTCAGGCTGCAATCCTGGTCATGCTTTTGCTGGCAGGCAGTCCCTTTGAACTCAGCAGGGCTTACTTCTCAATAGACATCCATAGGATTAAACTATTAAAAGACAATCCTATGTATAAACTCCATTAGATGTACTGGGGTTTATTTTCTTAGTAAACATGCATAGGATTGCTCATGAGAGATGCACACAATCAGTTTGTTGCAGGTTTCTGGGTTACATTAGCAGCTGCAGTTATCACCTTAGCGCTCTGGAGCATCCCAGGGGGCCTTAGAGCACTGCTTGCTTCTCTGTCACTAGAAGACACATGTTAAAATCTGCTTGAATTTATCCTAGTTACTAAATATGGTTTTCATTTCGAGTTCACCCTGCTCAGGCAGAAATGCAGCATTCCGCCTCCCCCCTCCCTCTTAGGATTTTTGGCTCAGTTGGCTTGAGTTTGAGCAAACCACCCTTGACCTCTCCAGCTCTGTTCCAAAAACAGACATTTGAAAGACTTTGTTTCCTAATTAGGAAATCGTTTGTTCCAAACAGGCTAGCTAGAGGCACTCAAGTTAGGTAAGGTTTCCTCTGTGCTTTGGAGTAAAATGCTCAAGTATATATAGCCACTAGCTCCCCAAAATATGTGCTATTAAACATTTCTTTTCAGTAAAACTAAATATAAAAAGTCTTCTTCTACTTGTTGTTTTAAATTTAAGGTTTAATTCCCACCCCCTCCCTGAGCATTTCAGATGAACTATATTATGCCCTCATCCACTTTTTATGTGAAGTAACCTGGACTGATGAGACAAAGAGTGATTTGACACATCACGTTCCTTGAGGTGATGTGTCGAAGATGTGTCAAATGCAAAATGTAAATGTGACAGATATAGATTTGCAAATGTGGGTTTATTACCACCCAGGGAAGAGCTAAGGTTAGCAGGAGCTCTTTGCTGAGCTCACTCATTTTGGGACAGCCCCAGGTTTACCCTGTGTGATGTGTATAGAAGTGGCCTCTTTCTGTATTTATATTTTGGTATAAACATTTCCTTAAAGATCTCTTATCCCAGGTTGAGAAGGCATTTGAATTCGGTTCCCTCTCACATCCAAAGCAAAGGCTCACTGGCTCACAAAGCATTTCCTTTGAACACTGCCTCACAGTTCCCATTCCTGAGTCCCAGGGTGTGTTCTGAGGGCACACGAGGGCACCATCTTGTATGTTTGGGATTGGATGGGAGGCCACCTGAGAATCCCAAATGCTTCACCTTGAGTTCCACATTGGAAGAAAATGAACTAAATATTAGTGACAGCAGATACCAATGGAAAGGCACAGGAAATGCCATTCTTTGTTTCTAAGAGGCATTTAGAGCCTATGTTCTTTGTATTCATGCTAGACATCTCATTTTTACCTTCACCAGTTTGAGCTTTCATGTTGCTGCTCTCATGATGAGAACATCAAGTGCTTCTAGTTTCTTAATTAAGGCCTGCAGTGCTTGATCTTATCTGCCTTGTTAAAATCCAGCACCGCAGGCCTTAATTAAGAAACCGGATAACAGTATTAGGTTGGGTTAAGTTACACTTGAGTTTCCTCATTACTAGCAGAACTGTTTGTACCCTGTACTAAATCAAACTGAAATCTCACATCCAAACCCTACACACACACACCCACACCCACACACCACACACCCCTTCTGAAACCCTTGGAGAAATGATGGGATAAAAATTTAAGTAAGAATTATATTGTCACTATTACGATAAGAAACATTTGCTTTTTAAGAAAAGTAAGCTCAGATTCTTAGGAGGGTGAATTCTGTACCTAATAGCCACATTCTGTGGCTTTATCTTCACTCCCACTGCATCATGGGGGAGCGGGGGGTAAAATAGTAAAGGTAAAGGACCCCTGGATGGTTAAGTCCAGTCAAAGGCGACTATAGGGTTGTGGCGCTCATCTCGCTTCAAGCCTAGGGACCTGGCGTTTGTCCACAGACAGCTTTCCGGGTCATGTGGCCAGCATGACTAAACCCCTTCTGGTTCAGTGGGCAGGGGCGTACGAAGTGGGGGGGCAGAAGGGGCGGGTGACCCTGGGTACCACTCTGGGTGTGTGTGACAAGATGGCCCCTGCCCCCCCCCCAGCTGTAGAGTGGCTGAGGGTGCACGCAGTCAGTATGGGCGCCACTCAAACAGCATCTGTACGGGCTGCTGCTCTCATGCACCGTCCATACGGGCATCCATATGGACTGCCTCTCGCACAGCGACTGTATGGGCTCCCACATGTGTGCAGTCCATACGGGATGCCACACATGCGCACTCTGTACAGACGTCATGCATGCGTCACCAGACGTTGCCCCGCCCCTCGGCACCCTGCCCCGGGTGCCGGAGAGGGTTCCTCCACCACTGGCAATGGGACACCATGACACAGAAATTCTATTTACAGGGGGGGCGGGGGAACAACTCTATAGATTAGTTACATATGCTGCGTTTCTCCACACTCAAACAGGTACCAAACACCTTTCTGGGTGTTGGCAAAAGAACTAACATTTAAGTTTATTTAACAAGATATATTTGTGCACCCATGAATACCTGAAACTGGTTTAAGTTCTGTATATTTAAATGGATGCACCCGATCCTCCTTTCAGCCTTTGTTGATCCAAAGACCAAACAGAGGACAATAGCTGATAATCTGATATTAGACCCTTACATACAGTGTAAATCACCATTTTGGCTCAGTCTACAGCTCAGAACTGAAGGCTGTCCTTCTCTATTGCAAGTTTGGATTAATTAAAGGATTACTGACTCTCGAGTCCTGCTATTATCTTTCAAGGACTTACAATTGCCTAACAACCTGTTAATGTTATAATCCATTTAAATACCCGTATTTACATCGTTGAGCCTGCAATTTAATAGAGAGTGAGGCTCCCGATCAGGATTCTATATGCCTAGCATGGAAACAAAATGGAGCAACAAATGTATGCTTAGATCAGTATGTGGGGAGGGAGCTCTTAATATAATAATCTCCATGATATTGGACTTAGGCCAGTATAGCAATAAGTATTATGGTAAATTCATTAGTCTAACAAGAATGGATGCCTTTTTTGGACTATTTAGAGAAATACTATAGTATGATGAGCTCATGAGCAGGATTTGAGCTATGAGCAACAGAAGTAATTAGATTATAATATTGTGGTTATGATTTGATAGATAGAAGTTAGGGTGCAGCAGAAGGAAAGAAGCAGCAACTCCATGGGGAAAAAGAGGTGGGAAATCAACAAAAATAAGAGAAAAGTCAAAATTGTGTTTTGACTGTATATGTTTAAAATGTTTTAACATGTTAAAAACTTAATAAAATACAATTGGAAAAATATTCATTGGTCAAACTAAACATTACACTTAACCACATGGCTAGGTGTTGGTATGGGAAGTGAGGTGTAATGTTGTCACATGTGTTGTTTGCTCTAAACCAGGGATGGGAAACCTGTGGCCCTCCAGATATGCTTAGGACTCCAACTCCTATCATCCCTGACCATTGCCCATGCTGATGGGAGTTGGAGTCCAACCACAGGTTTCCTGTCCCCGCTCTAAATGAGTTTTTGTGTGTGGCATTTCCTCCCTACCACCCCAGAAGCTGCACAATGTGTGTGTGTAAACATTGGTAGTACTGAAAAATAGGTTTTGTCATCCGCTTCGGTAGTGTATGCCCTTAAGTAATATGGCTGCTCTGCTTGCATGGCCTAATGACTCCCTCCCTTTGTGCCAGTACTTTTACATTCAACTATAGGAAAAGAAAGGGCTAGATTGTATCTGCAGCACAGTCTACATAACTATCGTGAAATTTATGAGGTGGAATGCAAGAGCAGCAACACATTCCAAAAGACAAGCATAGACCAAATAAGAACTCCAAAATCATCAGGTGAATATAACATTTGGAAGTGACCCATATCTATTCTGAAGCCTCTGCCTGTTAGGGGTGTGGAGAGTTGAAGGTTAGACTACTACACATGTACTTGGGCTGGTTTACAAGAAGATGTCAATAATGGCCATTTGTATACTGTGTTGTGTTTGCAATTTTTCTTGTTCCCTTGGTTATGTTCTATCTGGACCCTAAACAAGGAGCACAGTTTGGCCTGGAATTGCCACCTTGGTTGCTAATGAACCATTTAAAAAGCAAGCTCTTGATTAGGTAGTAAAACCTGGATGGAAAAAAACCCCCAGAGGACTTTGCATTCCAGAAGCATGTAGTACTTCTATGAAGGAATGTTTTACATTAATTTAATGGCACATGGGCTAACTTTTTGTGCAGGATTTTGGTGACAGTTATATTGCTCTAAAACCAGCCATTGTGACTGAATATCTCTTTTGACTGCACCCCATTGGTGCACAACTTCTCTGACATCCTCCTCCTCCTCTTCCTTCTTCCTTTATTTATTCCCTTTTCGCTCCTTATTTGCTTTCTAGCAATACTGAGTTCACTCAGAAGTGACCAAGGAATGGACTTTGAGGGTTCTTAGGCCTCAAACAAGAGGAAAACGTTTAAGTTCCTGCTGTTCTCCAGCTCAGGTCAAAATCCATGTCCCCATATCCCTATCGAGCCTCTTTGTCTCCAAAAGCGCCTTTCCTTTCTCACTGTCAAGGATGGAGATGGTAGCAGAGAGGATGAAGAGTCCCTCCCTCCTTCTCACCCCTTTGTCATCCAGAAGCATTGCAGGGCAGAAGAGTGTTGGCCATTGGGGCTACTTTCAAGGCAAGTGACCCTTCGGAAGCCCGGAAGTCCCAAAGGCCACCACTTTTAAAGTCATGAATTGCTGTTCTGCCACATGTCAGGACGACTGAGAGAGGTGACAGGGATTTCCTTTTTGCTACTGTTACTAAGTCTCTTCTAATTGGAGCCAGACCCTGTTAACTCTCATAGCTAGCCTTCCCCTGCCCCCAACCACCACCACCACTCCTGGGAATGTTTTCTTTTATTACATTGAGACTTCTCTGTTCTCTTTATAGGTCTGTACTTGTGTGGAAGGTCTGAGAAAGTTGCTATAGAAGATGTGTGAGGAAGAGGACAGCACCGCACTGGTTTGTGACAATGGCTCAGGACTGTGTAAGGCTGGCTTTGCTGGGGATGATGCTCCAAGAGCAGTTTTCCCATCCATTGTGGGACGTCCCAGGCACCAGGTGAATAACTGGTTCAGCTACTGAAACACTGCTTGGTACAGAAGCCACAGGATTCATTAGCAATAATAACATGGACCTCGAAAGGAAGAGTTTTGTTTCCCCCACACACTCTCTTTACAATGCCACAGTCCTTATCCAATTTCTTTTAGATCATTCCTGTTGATGTCAATAGAGTTTTGCCATGTAGCATGTTGTGGTCTGATTTAAAATGCAGTTTAAACTCTTGAGCAGCCATATTGGAAGAGAGTGAACTTTCACCAGAGGCTGGCAACCCTATTTCCTCAGCCAGTTTCTCTAATTTGGAAAAATGTGCATTCAACAGTGCTTTTTGGTTTTGTGTTTGCTGAGGTAGAATGGGAGAACTTTGATCAACAAGTAGAATTGACTAATACAATTGACTAATCAGTTGACTAATTTAGAACATCTTGTAGATTGGTAGACTAACCATAGATTGCTATAGAGATGAGTTTTACGAAAGTCGGGGGGGGGGGATAAATATCAAGTAATCATAGCAAATCAAATATCACTAGTCAGATACCTCTTACTAAGGGCGCCTCAGGATGTCATTTTTATTGCACATTCATGATGATTTGTGCTCATGATTTTATCAGGGCAATAATATACAGTCCTGCTTTTAATACTGTTTGTAGCTTTACATGCTTTGAGGTAGCCACACTTCTTCCTTTTCAGTCAGTGAATATCCCACAACTTCCTGCTGAAATCTAGTAACTTTTTATACCACAAATGTTCTGGTTTCTTTTGCTTCACTTCTGTTCTGCTATAGCCTCTCCAGACAGCAATAATGTGATAGCACTGGGGAAGCATCACAGAACAAGCTAAACGGAATACATCCATCAGTAATGCACTTTAAATAGCCATGTCATCAAACTTCAAATTCACAGCCTAAGATGATCCTGAAACTGTTGAGATATCCATATGCTATAGACCTGAGTTGGGGAGCCCTTGTGTGTCCAGTCTCTGCATGTCAGATCAATGGAACTGTGGCTTGTATCAAATAATTATTGTGACCCAACAAGAATGGAAAATGCATGTATTCAAGTCCATCAAGATAGCACGCTTTTAAAAAAATGACTCTTTTTCTTCCCCTGTTAAAGCTGCAATACTATTTATCTGGAAGCAAATCCAACTGAAATACCTGAGGATTACTTCCAAGTAAACATAGCTAAGGATCAGGCTGTAAATGTGAGCCACGGAAGTGGAGCACTTGAGAAGAGTGTGCTGTCCAATATTTGCCACTAGATGGCTGTTCACTCATATTTATAGCATGTACCAGAAGTAAAGATGGCCATCAACTTGGATGACTTCAAAAGAAGATTAGACCAACTCATGGAGGATAAGGCTGCCAGTAGCTGCTAGCCACAATGCCTATGTTCTGCCTCTACTGTCAGAGGTGGTATGACCCTGAATACTGGTTGCTGAAAATCACAAGAGGGAAGAGTGCTGTTAAGCCTGGGTCCTGCTTATAGGCTTCCCATAGATATCTGGCTGGCCACGGCGAGAACAAGATGCAGAACTAGAGGGGCATATTCTTTGCATGCAGAAGGTCCAGTCTCTGGATGCAAGGGTTTGAGGAAGCACTATTATTGGCTCAGATCCCTGTCCAAGACTCTGGCAAGCTGCACTCCATCTGTGTAGGTGATGCTGAGCCAAAGGGACCAATGATCTGAGCCAAAATAAAACAGTTTTCCTATGTTTCTATCCCATTGGCCACTTTTTTCCTATTACGTTTGTTATAGTTATGCTCGGTGGGGAAACAATGAAGGCTGTTTCCTCAACCTTTTATATAAAAATAAGATAGAAGGTATGGGTCATCTTGTTTGCTTTGTTTCATTGCTTTCTTATGAGTCTGTTGTCATCATCACCTTTTCTCCCTCTCTTACTTAGGGTGTGATGGTAGGGATGGGCCAGAAAGACAGCTATGTAGGAGACGAAGCCCAAAGCAAGAGAGGGATCCTGACCTTGAAATATCCAATAGAGCATGGAATCATCACAAACTGGGATGATATGGAGAAGGTATGGAAACCACAAATTAAAACAGAATATAATGCAAAATGAATGATAAGCAGAAGCAGGGATTTTTGCTCTTTTTTGGGGAGGGGAGAAAGTTGTGATTTGCCTGTGTATTTTTGGTGAGAACAATCTGCATATCTTCTGCTATTGGGATTTTTAATTTTTTTCCAATGAGTTCATGGTGTCTGGTGTTCCAGTAAGGACTTCACAAGAATGCATATTTGCTGCTATGATTTGGAACTACATAGAGGCTAATTAAGAAGTCACAGAAAGAAAATGCAATTAACAGGTTCTGGAAAGTGGTGGCTAGGGCTTACTTTCTACTTTATCTGGAGTGGGCGTGGGTGCTTCTCCACCACTGCTGGTAATGTATACATCTTCTGCCCATGTAGGTTATCTTTACTCACAGTGTGCTGATTGGGAGTTGTTTCTCCTTATTGCTCTCATGCATGCAGCTGCGATGAATATTGCATTCACATAGGTGACACCACCCCTTCTCATAGTTCTGAATCAGACATTGCTAGTTTGGGACAGAATTATGCGGTCCACTTAGCCACATGGGCAGAAGATATAGATCAAGAGTGGGCAGAGGAGTAGACTGGGATTTGCAATGGTTTGAAAATTGTGACTATTAAAGTGTTTTCCTCACCTCCTAAATTAGGCAGCTGAAAGCTTTGGGGAGGGGGAACGGGATTATTTGCATGAGAACAGATTTGTGTGCAAGCTCCAGTTTTGTTACTGAAAGCATGTGCCTGTGGCGTTCGTACAGAGCCCCCAGTCGTTTCATGGACTATTGACCTGTACACCACTGCTTTATTCTTTTGCTGCCACCAACCAGGTTTCTTCTGGTGAAATGCTGAGTCTCAGTCAGGTTGTAAAGTCAACAATGAAGATTAAAGTTTATTGAAGAACAAACAAGTTTTAAATATGTTCAGAACGGTTTCTCAAATGCACGCCCTTAACTAGATGTGGCACTATCTCACACTGTCACACTCTTCTCTCTCAGTTCTATCCCTGTCTCTCACTCTAACTGTCACAACCGCTATATTGATCTTTTACTCACTCTCTGACTCTGGCTCTCCTATCTTCCAATGGTAAAACCCCTGGGCTGAGCCTCAAAAGCAGGTAGGCTCCAGCTCTGAGCTTTCTTATTGGTCAATCTACATTAACCATTCCCATCCCCCTGTACAAACATAATCACAAGGAATGGGCAAATGCCACAGTGCCCAGGAACACCTTGGTCCACAATGCTATGTCTGCCTTCTTGAGCCACGAGGGTCCAGTAAATTAACCAAGCGTAAAATCTGCCTACCCTTGATGTAGAAGAGGTTACCTGGACTGACATGGGTGAAACTATGGAGATATAGCACTTGCAGTCTAAAACATTCAGTTCTAATGTCTCATAAGAGTTCTGTAGCTACTGGAGCTTCAGAAATATTTTCAAGGTGGGGTAGTGGCCTGCGGCTGTTTATTATAATAATATTATAATAAAAATTCATTTTGCTTTTTATTAATACAGATTTGGCACCACTCTTTCTACAATGAGCTGCGTGTTGCCCCTGAAGAACATCCAACTCTGCTTACAGAGGCACCTTTGAACCCCAAAGCTAACCGAGAGAAAATGACACAGGTAAACAGCCTCTTCTTAGCATTAAGGTCTTTGAATTACTATATATTTATGGTTACAGATAGGTAGCCGTGTTGGTCTGCCATAGTCAAAACAAAAAAATGAGCTTTCGTGTGCATGCACACTTCTTGGTTAGTTCTTGGTATGCACACGAAAGCTCATACCAAGAACTAACTTAGTTGGTCTTTAAGGTGCTACTGGAAGGATTTTTTTTTGTTTTATATATTTATGTATTTCTTCGTTAAAGTTCTATACGGTGTAGATGCCAGCTGTATTTCTGATTGTTGATGTGGGTTATACACTGGTTTTGGTGGTTCTTTCTTCTGAGTTTGTAGGTGACCTTTATCTGTATTAGACTTCAGGACAATAAAAGGATTAACTCTTACTTTTCATTGAATGGTTGGGATTTCAGTTCATGTCATTAATATTTCACGGCACCACATATATATTGGTGTGAAACCCATTTCAACTACCCTGGTTTCCTGAGAATTGTAATTTTCTGAGGAATGGAAGTGACTATTAATCCAGCTTAGGTTTGTAAACATACTCTAGCCGCATAGTACTGATTTTTATTTCCTTAGAAAAGATGTCATGTTATACATTAACCCTCTCTAAATTAATGGAAACTTCTGTTGTTAGTCATGAGTTCTATTGATCCAGTTATTGGAACCTGCTGTATTTGCAGGTTCTGGGTGCATTGATTAGGATTGTGGAAATCATTTAAATTATGTGCTGTTGGTAATTAATGGTTACGACCCTATTGCATGAAGTAACAAAGACGATATCACAAACCCGATACTTTCATTTTGTTTGTTTGTTTGTTTTTAATTACTTTTCAGATTATGTTTGAGACTTTCAACGTCCCAGCCATGTATGTTGCTATTCAGGCAGTTTTGTCGCTCTATGCTTCTGGACGTACAACAGGTAAGAAAGTGATGGGAGCTTTTGGATTTGTGAAAAGGAAGAAGAGTACATAGGTATCAGGATAAATTCTGCCTGTTTTGTGTTGTATCTAGGGATTGTGCTTGACTCTGGGGATGGTGTCACCCACAATGTGCCAATCTATGAAGGCTATGCACTGCCTCATGCCATCATGCGCCTGGACTTAGCCGGCCGTGACCTTACCGACTACCTCATGAAAATCCTGACAGAACGTGGCTACTCATTCGTTACTACTGGTAAGAGAAATACTTAGGATTGAGATTTGCTGAACATACTTTTAGGAGCTTTACAGGCACGTGGTTGCTTTCAGTAATGGTGAACAAGTTTTTCTATTTACATGTCTTGCTTAGCACTATGTCTCCTGACCCCCTGGATGTGATGTGGGGACAGATAGGAGGCGGGTGAAAGCCCTATTCTGCTAGTGCTTGCTCCTGCTAGTTCAATCTGGCCCCAAATGTTTTGCAAATTTGTAGCATTTGGGGACTTCCTGTTGAGACGTGCATTTGTTTATTTTGAATGCAGAACACTGCAATTTTAAAAGCAAAGCAAGAGTCCTGTTTCATTATCATGAATAATACTGAACTAAAGATAAGCAATGCAGTTCCTTTCTTTGATTGCCAAAATTCTTTGGCGATCCCTCGTAGCTGAGTAAGATCAATCAATCATTCTTTGATTGCCGAAATAGTGTGATTTACACAGTACTGTTTGTAATTTAAACACAAATCTTTGCTTTGAACCCCATCTGCAGCTGAACGTGAAATTGTCCGTGACATCAAGGAGAAGCTTTGCTATGTTGCCCTGGACTTTGAAAATGAGATGGCCACGGCTGCTTCTTCATCATCCTTGGAAAAAAGCTACGAGCTGCCTGATGGTCAGGTGATCACAATAGGGAACGAACGTTTCCGCTGCCCAGAGACACTCTTCCAGCCCTCTTTCATTGGTAAGATAACTTACACTGTTTATTGGCCAATTATATTATTACACTCCTGCAAGAAATTCAGTCACCTCTCTCTAAATGGCTATACCTACCTGGTTATTAAAAATGGAGAACAAGTGGTCCTCAGGATGTCATTAGACTACAACTCCCATCATCCCCGGTAATGATAATGTATGCTGAGCTGATGAAAGTTGGAGTCCAACTTCCTCTCGAGGGCTATAGGTTTCCATAACTGCTTCTAGGCCAACACAACCAACGATCCTTGAGCATCCATCCTTCAGTTCACTTCACTTTCTGATTTGCTTTATATGCTAGAGGTGATGTGGGGCATTTCACTCATGGTGTGGTAAAAACCTGGAAATGTATTTCCAGCTAGGAGCTGGCTCCCTGACAAGTGTACAAAAATAGCATAAACTAAGGCTTAAGACACCAAAGTGAACTTGCTGCCTTAGGGTAAATGAATGTTATTGTTGGCAGCTGTAACATTTGGGAAGAGTTGTTTGAGAATCAAAGTTGGATATAGTAGCAGCATTCTTTGCCAGGGAGATGGCTCAAGCAGTTACATACCTGTGAATTCTAGATTCAGGTAGGTAGCCGTGTTGGTCTGTCACAGTAGAAATAAATTAAAAAATTGTCCAGTAGCAGCTTAAGAGACCAACTAAGTTTGTTCTGGGGACTGTATAAGCTTTCGTGTGCATGCACACTTCTTGAGATACACTGAAACAGAAGTCACCAGACCCTTATATATAGTGGGAGGGTGGGATGGGTTTTTTTCCCAGAAGGGTAGTAGGGAATGGGTGACTGATTCAATGGTAAAGCTGTTGACGACTGTTAATAACTGCAATTAGTCCTAAAGGAAAAAACAAGGGATAGTATGCAGATGACCAAAAATAGCTTTAGCGTGTGTAATGAGACAAGAATCCAATATCTCTATTCAGACCAGGTCTCTGAATGTCAATTCATATACCTATGAATTGACATGTTTTGAAAAGCCCAACTCTAGCTGGATTTGTAAATGTTGAATAACTGTATTAGGAATTCTTAGCCTGCATTGAAAATTGTAAAGGTGCTTCTATTCTTCTTTCAGCTCTGTCATTCCCTTTATAAGAAACATTTTAAGAAACCAATTGTTGCACTTCAAACTTTGCCTGACTTCAACCTGCTATAAGATATTGGTTTTTTAAGTGTGCACACAATTATCTGACTTCTATACGCTAGGCTTTGAATAACAATTTCTCTCAGCCTTGAATTAGTTTAAGGCTACAGTGGTACCTTGGTTTTCAAACGTAATCTGTTCCGGAAGACCGTTCGACTTCTGAAACGTTTGAAAACTGAAAGTGGAAGCCTCAATTCAATAGGGCAACTCAAAATGGAAGCTGTGTAGTATGTTCAGCTTCCGAAAATTATTTGAAAACCGAAGCAGTTACTTCCATGTTTTCGACGTTCAGGTTCCGAAACGTTCGTCAATGGAGACATTCAAGAACCGAGGTTCTACTGTATTTCATTAAGGTTCATTCTAACATCTTGTCCACACCTTCACAGGTTGGTGGCTACTGGGTTCAGTCTTCTCAGTTGTGGCACCCACAATTCTACTATCCTAAGGCATGGTTAGAATTTTAGGATGCCCTCCCCAGGCAGATCCATCTGCCACTTAACATATATGGCACCAATTTAAAAATATTTCATTCTCCGAGGCCTTGACAGCGGGTGCATTTTGAATTTATGATTTTGTTGTTGCATGTATTTAAGTTTATCAATTGTTTCTGGTCCTGTTTTCTTTCTGATTGCCATTTTCCTAATTATTATAATGGATGTATTTTAACACTTGACTATAACCCACACTTGGAGAGGCAGCTCAAAAGTTGAAAAGCCAAGGCAAATATATTTTAAATAAATAATTTCTCAACCATCACAGGCATGGAATCTGCTGGCATTCATGAAACCACCTATAACAGCATCATGAAGTGTGACATTGATATCAGAAAAGACCTCTATGCAAACAATGTACTATCTGGTGGAACCACTATGTACCCTGGCATTGCAGACCGAATGCAAAAGGAGATTACTGCCCTGGCACCCAGCACTATGAAAATCAAGGTACTGCGTTATTTGATTATTATCTAATTTATAGTGGCAAAGTAGGCCAGCATATTTTAAGGTGACTAGCTAGCTGAACATATTTTAATGTAACCAAGAAAGGGATATGTAAAGCCCTTAATAAAATCTTGATGCAGAAAGGATTAAAGCTAACTAAACAACTTATCCCACTCCCAAGCCAATATAGGGAAAGACGGGAACTGAAGAAAGTAGAAGACCAAGCAGAGGGGATTCCCAGCAACACAGTGATTCAAGGGGGAGTTTACACCATTTTAAAAAAATTCTTGCAAGAAAGTATAATTAGATTATTTCCTGATGATACCATGGTTAAGCTCCTGTAAGTACTCTGGTGATCTTCCCCAAGGTTTTGCAGGAAATCACCCACCCAATTTAAACTGCCTTTAAAAACAGGGCAAAATATAAATCTGATCACATAAGAGTGCTTTGGCAAGAATACTGAATTGCCCCAGGTGAACGAAACCCAGTGTTTACTTTTCTCCTGTCAAAAACAATTGCATAAGCACTCCTTTAGATAGGAAGACTTTAGAAGCAGCTCTTACCTGCTTGTGTCAAATACACAAGTATGGACAGATAAAACTCTTTTGTTTACCCATTTTTGCCATAGGAATGGCTTGCATCACTCCACTGAATTCAATTTCTTCATGCAGTTCATTTTATCATTGCATACAGCATTTTAGCTACATCCTTCCATTTCTCTTTTGTGCAGATTATTGCTCCCCCTGAACGCAAGTACTCCGTTTGGATTGGTGGTTCTATCCTTGCCTCTCTTTCCACCTTCCAGCAAATGTGGATCAGCAAACAAGAATATGATGAAGCTGGTCCATCTATTGTTCACCGCAAATGCTTTTAAACTGCTTCTCTCTTTCCTATTTTTTTTTCTTCTCTCTCTCTCCTTTCCTCTCTCCCCGAGCACATTACTGTGAATATATTCAGGAATAGCAATGTTTTTATAACTCCATTCCACTTATCCTAATAACAATGGCTCTGGCTATGTTTCCAATTAGATTCTGTGTATTTTGGGGCTGGGGCTGGGGATAGAATAAATTGTAAACATGCTACCAGTTGGGTGCTTGCAATTTTTCTTAATAAAAACACTTCCAGTTGTTCTTACTCAGCTGAAAAACTGCAGTTCACAAAAGTCATGGAATCTAAGACAGAAAATTCAGATGCGCTGCAAATGTTCCATCACTGTCACTGTTTCAAGTCCACTTTATTTTCATAGTATTTCAGCATAATAACATATCCTGATTGAATGCCACCATGAACTCTATCATGACAGAACAACAAAATAACCTCAAAATGGGAAAGGGCAATAAATATCAAATTATTAAATCTAAAATGTACAAATATAAAATGTCAGTAACTTTTGGAAAACACTGTAGGAAAATCTGGCAGCCATGTTCTCCTTTGGGCAGCTGTTTTTGAGGTGGTTTGTTTTCCCATCCACATCACCTCAGGTCCAATACAGTTATTTTTACATCTTTCCCAACGACGTGTTTACATATCTGCAAAAGAAGTCGCCAAAATCAATCACGGATATACATCGGTGAGGAATCTGCTGCAAGAGGCAAATTGCCTCTGAAGTCAATCGAGAACATGCTGTTTAAGAGACAGCAGATCATGAAAGCGTTTCTCTTTGAAAATATGGTACTTCTCCTGGAGGTTAGTGCTGGCTCAGAGGAAAAGAACCATGGTGCCCATAAAGCAGCATTCTCCCTCCTCATCCTTGCCTTGCCATCTCTTGTAACTCACACATCAAATTGGAGGCAGTAGTTCCCCAGTCTCAGGCTGCCTACATTCCATACATTTAAAGCACATGACTTCCCCCCAAAGCATTCTGGGAACTGTAGTTTAACCTTCACAGTGCACAATGCCTTAAATAACTAGTTTCCAGGATGCTTTTATTTTATTTTTTTATTTTTTTGGAGGGGGGGCATTTTATATGCTTTGAATGCTGTGCATACAGCCTAAATCACATCTTGGTCAATGTAAGACCAGCCACACTTTTTCATGCACCTTATGAAAGCGGATGTTTGGTGTCTGTGATGTCGGGAAATTAGTGCTTTAATTGTGACCAAAAAGCAGGAACAATGGGGGGAAATGGAAGAGAGTACACTTTTAACTTATTAGTTAAATTTAAAATTAGTGTCTTTTAGTAAAGACCAGCTGGGCTGCATATATAAACCTATGCAGTTTATGCTTCTTCCTCACTAGGCAAAAATAAACATTTCCAGTGAAGGAGAAGGAGAATTCACATTTCCTCTCCCCCACTTTCTAGATGAGTTCTGCGTACTCCAGAAGCAAACTAAGAGAACACCCAGAATGATAGAGCACAACTCTCTTTTGAGGAAAGGTTACAGTATTGGGGGCTTGTTAAATTGGAAAAAGAGTTACAGGGGCATGATAGAAGAGAGTGGATGGGGAGAAGCTTCTCTTCCTCCTGGAGATTCAAGGAAGACAAAAAGGAAGTGCTTCCTCACACAATTATGGAATTCACTCCTGCAAGACATTGTACTGGACAAACAAACACAGAGACAGACAGACATACTCAGCCAAACTGTTGAGAAGTAATGCTTACATTAAATAGTCTAGGATCCTTGGTATGGGGATGAAAGCCCTTCTTTTTACAAGCAGAAACTTCCAACATGCCAGCATTAGTAAGTCTGAAGACTCCCGTGCTAGAAAGCAAAGAAAGTATCATGTCCAAGGAAGCAAACAGAACAGAGCAAAAAATAAAATAAAAATGTACATCTCAATAATGTGTGAAAAATCAGATGCATGAGCAACTTTAGGGAGTTTGCCAGAGGAGCATTTCAATTTAAGATCACACCTGAGGACTAAGAAATGGACAGCTCAATTCTACGCAGCAGCAGTAGCAGAAGAGGTACGTATATACAGCAACTGTAACAGCTTCCTATGAAAGAAAAGTTGCTTAAGATTCATCCAGCTCTGCCCAACTGTGTTTATAAATGAGGCACCAGCAGGAGAGCGGGTTGCTTCACCAGAGAAGAGGATACTTTCTCTTTCTCTCCTAGTGATGAAATGGGTCATTTCTGTAGCACATTTGCATCACATATGTAGGACTGTAACTGCTGCCTCACGTATCAGACACACATGATGCAAATGATGTCACACTGCAGCCAGTGTGACATAATGAGCAGAGTAATACCCAAAAAGTAGATCCTGCTGTGGAAAATTCTGAACTTGCCTAAACCAGACAAAAATAATTGCAGTTGATTAAGCATTTAATTTTTAAGCTAATCAATCAAGGTTGACTGCACCTGCCCATTACATGGAAAAAAGACTCAGATTTAATCTCCAACTAGAAGGATATCAAGTAGCAAGACTGGGAGAGATGCTTGCTTTGGAACCTATCCCTGGAGAAGCCACTGCCAATCACATGAGATCACACTGGGCTACATGGTCCAATGCCGTATTTTGTATGTTCAAGTTTTATGCTCAACACTTGAAATAAAGTTCATCTCCTTATTTCCCTTTTTCCATTCCCCATGACAGTAAAGCAAAATTGTACCACAAAATAAATATGCCTACAAATTAACATTCCCACCAAATAAACAGAGTAAAATAACAAATGCCTATAGCTGAGTACAGAGACATCTTTCTGAACATTGCTGATGGATGGAGTCAGAGAGAGAGAGAGAGAGAGAGAGAGAAATAACTTACTCATTGTGTTTTGGTGAACAAACAATTGCAATAGCCTCCGGTAGCATTAGCTGATAAGAACAATGTGTATGAAGATCAACACTGGATAAGAATGCCGTCTGTGTTGGATGTGTCTACAAAGAAAGAAAGGAAAATGTCTACTTAGTGGATGGATTATTATTTTTTTAACAGATCAAGGTCAAATACAATCAAGGAGAAATCATAGTTAGTCTGAAGGCTTGTTGTATGATTTTCTAGCAACTGTTTATGTTATTTCCTTCACCCAAACAGACAGCATGACAATTCTCATCAGCAAAGAGGGTGCTTCAAAGTCATAGCAAAGGTACCTGTTGTAAGTTACTCACTGCACCATAGGTGGGCTGGTAGGGAAAGGGAAATTACTGAAAGGAACAGAAAACTAAAGCCTTTGACCATGAAACTATATCAAAGAAATAGGGGCAGGAAATGGCAAACTACTACATGGAAAATTTAATTAAATTGGCAGGTATAGATATATAATTTGCATCGTTTTGGTCAGACATACAAACGATTGATGTACAGGAGGCGGGGATGTAATCTGTCTTTCTTGTTTGTAGCTGAAAAAACAGTGCACAGTGCTAATTGCTTGACTCCTGTGACAATCACAAAACAGCCTCCCCAGAGGAATTTCCCCCTTGACTGACTGAAGTTTAAACTTCACCCCCAAAATGGGATGGGAAGTCCCCAAGCAAATGATTTCTTGCAAAACTTTTCAAGGCACTTGGGGGATGTGGGAGGCAATGCCTGGCACGTACTGAAGTGATTATTTAATTGCTTTGGCACATGTCCAACTGGCAAGCTCACCTGAGCCACTGTTCAGGACATTTCTTTGGCTTTGAGGTTGAACGTGGCATGAGCTGAACATACTTCAGTGGTCACTGATAGCATGATAACTCCCCACCCCCCACCCCAAATGCTGAGCAACAGGTCTGGGAGCATGTGTGCCCACCTCTACTCAAAGGAAAGTGAGACATATAGAATGCTCATTGGAAGTATATGCCAGTTAGTCGTATTTACCAGGGCCAATTGGGGGAGGGGGTACATTTGTAAAATAACACCAGCATTTTAATCAGGAATGCTGTGTTGGGGAAAAAGTTAACGTCTTCTCTCCCTACAGTCCTGGTCACTGTTCCCCTGTGACTGCTATTTAAATTTTGAAAAGATCAGTGTCTATACCTACCTAGAGTTACTATATATATTCTTGCAATGTCTTTTTTTTTTTTTTGTATGGCTGCAGCATTTAATGACTCATTTGTTAATTTGCCTATTTAACAACAGTTGCATACCACTTATTTATAATAAAACATCTAAATGGTTTCAAGGTACATCAGTAAAACAGTTTAAAATAATGACAATTAACAGTAAGAAAGATTAAAACACATAACCATCTCCGTGTCTGGATAGAGTTGCCTAAGCAAAAATATTTTAAGCAAATGTTTTCATTAAATGAATTAAAGCTCAAAATGTGTCCTGGTTTACGGTGTCCTAATTAAACTGGTAAAATATATATTTTTAATGCATCATCATCATCATCATTATTAGTAGCAGTAGTAGTAGTAGTACTTATAATGGATGCATCTGCCTCTTTCTGTCACACGATAATTTTTTTGTTTAAAAAATGGGATGACAGTATGCCCTGCTATCATAAGTACTTCTGTGTAGGCATAACAAATCTGAAGATCTAGTCAACAAAAGTAGACAGACCTGTACTTGTTGAAAGATTTGCAGTGCCCTAAGGGGCTGCAGAACACTTGGTACATGTGGGTAGCAGGAAGGTTAAGGAGGAATAGTCTAGGGATAGTGCTTTCATTTTGAAAACAAACTGAATGCACTACCTTTCACTTTCCATTAAGACAAGCATATAACAATAACGAATGTGAAAAACAAATGTCAGTGCATGTGTCATGTTACAGGCAGTAGCAGACAAGATGGGTCTCCACTGAAATCCATGGAAAAATTAAACCAAAGTAAAATGGAAATAAACCAATGCAACTAAAATGAAGATAAAGCAAAAAGGATGTTGGCTTAAAAACCAAAAACCCCCATTGCACACCCTTAGAATAGTTTACCAAAAATATTGTTTCTGTAAGGAATGTCTTCTGCCTATTTCTTCACTGAGATCCACAGCATATTTATGTATATACGTACATGGATCCAGCCCAGAGTGAGGAGATCGTGTTGGTCTTGAACACTGAACAGCTCTTCCACATTCTCCATGTCGCAATAATCTGGCCCCGCAGACTGTTTTGGCACTATCACATGAGTAATAGTGAATTCGTTATGGGTCTGTAAAATAAAAGTGTGGCAAAATAGCTTTGGGGACAAGCACCGAACGTCGACCCCCAGAACCATCACCATTACCAACTGAATCAGTTTTTAGTACTCTTATCATAGTCGCTGTGCTGATTTACACCAAGTGATTCATCACAGTAACAGACAAAGCAGAGGTCAACATTGATATTAAAATATTATATACATGGACAAACATTTAAAGGGAAGATTGAAAGTTGCCATATTAACTGAGGCAAAGCTTTAGTCCATCTAGCTTGGTATTTTCTACACTGACTGGAAGCATAGCTGTCAACGTTTCCCTTTTTAAAAGGGAAATTCCCTTATTCCAAATAGGATTCCTCGCAAGAAAAGGGAAAAGTTGACTGGAAGTGACTCCAAGGATACAGACTTTGGAACACTTTTCCTCAACCCTTACCTGCAAATGCCTGGTACTGAACATGGAACCTTCTGCATTAAAAGCCCATGGTTTACCACTGAGCTACAGCCAGTGTGCGCCACGCTTATGTAAAGATATGGCAGGAAATGCTACCTTTTCTTAGTATGTAATCTTATTCACACTCACTTGCGAATGGAATTTACTTCTCAGTAAACATAGATAGGGTTGGGTTTCACAATGCAGTGTATTTTTTAAATCTTATTAGCCAGAATATATATTATTTTAATATCTGTGTATGTTTTCCCGTGTGCCAGGTTGAGTACTTTATATATCAGCCATGTTTCAGATACCATTTCGCAGTTAACTATTGGTGTAAAGTGAACATTAGGCAACAGTGTGCATTATTTACCTAGGAAGCAAAATCCAAGCAATAATAGCTAAGCGATATTTGCTATAATTTCTCTCCACTCATACATACACACAAAATCTGATATTCAGAATCTGATATGCCACAGCATTAGCTCCCACTATATTTAATATTGGTTTTCCTGCAACAAATTATCATTTGTGTTTCATGAAAACCATTTTAAAAAATCCTTTAGTGGAGTCTAACTTCACAGCAGAATGATTTAATAGCATTACATGCTTCCCATTGCCTAAGATCAATGATTTCTGCTCCTCCCCCAAAAGGCAAACAGCAGACCACAGTTCAGTAAGAATTTCTGAGAAGTAAAGTCAATTATGTAGCACACTTACACTCCACATCTGCTTTTGCTCTGATATCAGTTCATTACAGGAAAATACAGTACTATCAAAAGTGCCTTCCCCATACAAATGTGAAGGTTCAACTGTACCAGTTTTCCACAGAGAATTCCACATGTCTCTATTCCTCTTACTGTATTTGCCTCTGCTAGCAGCAGAAATTTGTGGCAAAGATCCTTGGGCAGAACCACACTTCGCAGCCCTTCAGCCACATTGTCTAAAAAGAGAGACAGAGTAAGAGTGTCATTTATGCAGAGGTAAAGGTAAGGTAAGGGATGCGGGTGGCACAGTGGTCTAAACCACTGAGCCTCTTGGGCTTGCTGATCGGAAGGTTGGCGGTTCGAATCCCCACGATGGGGTGAGCTCCCATTGCTCGGTCCCAGCTCCTGCCAACCTAGCAGTTTCTGTCACAGTGTCCCGTTGCACCAGAAGTGGTTTAGTCATGCTGGCCACATGACCCGGAAAACTGTCTATGGACAAACACCAGCTCTCTCGGCCTGAAAGCGAGATGAGTGCCGCAACCCCATAGTCGTCTTTGACTGAACTTAACCACCCAGGGGTCCTTTACCTTTACCTTTTTACATTTATGCAGAAGTCTACAGTATTAAAATGCTCTTATAAAATACAATTTAAAAAGTGCTTGACTGACTTGAGTACATGTACAAATTGGGAGGCTAATTTTTTTAATAATTTATTTTGCATTTATTCATTTATTTTGGAAATTTATACACTACCTAGCTACAGTCAGAATTCAGGGTAGATATAAAGACATAGCAAGTGACTGTCCCACTCCTAGCGGTGATTTTCTTCTGCGCCTGTTTCAGTTGTCCTCTACTTATGGCAAATAGCTTGTGCAACAAACAGAGGCTGAAATTTTTATAAAATATCACAAGCTATATAGGTTGGGCAGCTACTAGAGTTGCTGCAGTCTCACTTATTTGGTATGTGCATTTTAGGATTTGAGTGCCAGTGTGATGTAGTAGAAAAGCTGGTTTGGGATCCCTGCTCAACCATGAAGGTCATTAGCTGACCTTGGGCCGTTCGGCAACATTCCAGGATGAATGAGCATTTATTAAACAGAATTTATTGAATTTTGGAAGCATAGTTCCAGAATCAGGGTATCAAAGAGGTTCGAGTGACTTAAAAAGCTAAAGTCAAAGGGGAAGGAGTGATGAGGAATGCAGAGAAACAGCTTTATGAAGGTAAACTAGGGGCATGGAAGAATGCAAACTACGTGAATGGAAGCCTGAAAGAAGGGCTATCTGAGACCCAAATATTTCCCTTCAGCAAACCAACGAATAGCGTATACTAGAAGTCAGTCACAAACACACAACATAATGCGCACCTTGACTTCCATATCGTAAGTGAGGTATTGTCTTGGATACCTTCGTTAGGTGAACTGCCAATTATTTATTTATGGCTTTTCCTTTTTAGGGAAAAACCACTCAATTCAAATGGAGGTCTGAACAAGTAACTGGGCAACCTTTACAGAGCTCTCCATCCAGAACGTGGAAACACATTTCTAACCAGATAAAAGATACCTATGTGTGTATCAAGTTTCAGAACATGCTCTATGGTGTAACATTTCAACGGTTTGGGATTTTAATCATTGGCATTGTGTAGATTTTTAGGTGAAATTTTTCATGTACAGTGGTACCTTGGATTACATACACTTCAGGTTACAGACGCTTCAGGTTATAGACTCCGCTAACCCAGAAATAGTACCTCGGGTTAAGAACTTTGCTTCAGGATGAGAACAGAATTCGTGCTCCGGCGGTGTGGCGGCAGCAGGAGACCCCATTAGCTAAAATGGTGCTTCAGGTTAAGAACGGACCTCCGGAATGAATTAGGTACTTAACCCGAGGTACCACTGTATTCCGATTTATATTGGATGCCACCTGTTGCGAACTTTAGCTACACAAAAAAAATTCCTTCCAGTAGCACCTTAAAGACCAACTAAGTTAGTTCTTGGTATGAGCTTTCGTGTGCATGCACACTTCTTCAGATACCTGAAGAAGTGTGCATGCACACGAAAGCTCATACCAAGAACTAACTTAGTTGGTCTTTAAGGTGCTACTGGAAGGAATTTTTTTTGTTTTGACTATGGCAGACCAACACGGCTACCTATCTGTAACTTTAGCTACACAGTTGGCTATAGAGTCTAACAGTGCAATAACATGGGAAGAAGACAACAACAACAAAATTGCTCTCTTACTCTGAACAGCACTTAGAGTAGCAGCTGGCTTTAAGGCCCGACTTATAGGAGGAGACTGTCCATCGCTCTTGTTTGCAATTGTTGTGGGGATAGAATTATTCAGATGTGTTGCAGTGCACGACGATAACATGCTCCCATCAGTCTGCTCAGATGTAATTGAATTATCCTTAGTTTTCTCATCACGGGCTCTTTCTTGCTTCTTCAGTTGATCTTCAAAGAATTGAAACTGTTCTGTTTCCAGCTGCTGTTGACGAATCTGTGCAATCCGCTTCTTCTCTGCTTCTATCAGTTTCTGTTGCTCTAGCTTCTTGAGTAATTCAGCTTTGCATTTGCCCTGAAAAATATATTACATGAAAAAATCCAATGTACAGCCCACAGTGGTTCAAACCACATTAGACATGGCAGATCCAATTGTTTAAATACTTATCCCATTCACATATAAAGTGGAGTACAGTGGTACCTTGGGTTACATACGCTTCAGATTACAGACTCCGCAAACCCAGAAATAGTACCTTGGGTTAAGAACTTTGCTTCAGGATGAGAACAGAAACTGTGCTCTGGCGGCGCAACGGCAGCAGGAGGCCCCATTAGCTAAAGTGATGCTTTCAGTTAGGAACAGTTTCAGGTTAAGAATGGACCTCCGGAACGAATTAAGTACTTAACCCGAGGTACCACTGTACTATTTAAAAGCGAGGAGTGTATGGGGTTGGGGAGAATGCTGAACAAACCTTCAGCCTGTAGCTTTCCCCCTGCAGGGCTTACTTCTGGTACTGGACCTTAAGAAACAGACTTCTGGGTAAACTGTCCAATACCCTGCTCCAGGCTGCATAGCTCTCTGACCCTTTCAGTTGCAACACCCACACTCGTTTTGCAAGTGAAAATGAGAACTTTTCATTTAGTAGGTCTGCTACCATCATGCATATTTTGGGCTTCGGAAAGGATCCTTTCCTCTGTGAGCACAAGCATAGGAAGTGAATAATGTCAAGGAACTGACACATGTTTATTGCTGGCTATGATTCTTGGCCAAACTTTTTGGCAAGGAACAGTGCAGTGCAGAATATGGCTGCATTGCTTTTGGGCAGTACAGTTCTTGGCACCCATGTTGTTTGGGCATGGCTGCCTATTTGTGTGTGTCTGTGTTGCCAGGGGATGGAGGAAGGGTTTGCATCAATCCAGTGGAACATTTCCATGGATCAAGAGGTAACAAAGGACTTTGGTTTCTAAATAGATAGCTGATATGTTAGTGTTCAGTTTCACTTTTTGTTCATTTTTAACATTATTATTATTATCATGGGACGCGGGTGGCGCTGTGGGTTAAAGCCTCAGCACCTAGGACTTGCCGATCGAAAGGTCGGCGGTTCGAATCCCCGCAGCGGGGTGTGCTCCCGTTGCGCGGTCCCAGCGCCTGCCAACCTAGCAGTTCGAAAGCACCCCCAGGTGCAAGTAGATAAATAGGGACCGCTTACTAGCGGGAAGGTAAATGGCGTTTCCGTGTGCGGCTCTGGCTTGCCAGAGCAGCGATGTCACGCTGGCCACGTGACCCGGAAGTGTCTGCGGACAGCGCTGGCCCCCGGCCTATAGAGTGAGATGGGCGCACAACCCTAGAGTCTGTCAAGACTGGCCCGTACGGGCAGGGGTACCTATTATTATCATCAATAGTAACAGTGTTACTCACCACCACTACCACAAAATGTTTAAAAGCTAAATAAATTATGTCATTCACAGAAAGGGTTCCTTACTAAAGGTTTATATATTTGCCAGCTTTGTTATACAGAATATTGATGATGGGGTACACATATAATTAAAAACACATACAATATAAATGTTCTGGTGGAATTTACCTTGTCTTGCATATATTCCCGATATTCTGCATTATATTTCTTTAACAACTCCTTCTTCAATTCATCAGTTCTTGGAAAGGCTATGTCCTTCAGTTTCTTTGTTAGAAAGAATATATATAAATAAATAAATAAATAAATAAATAAATAAATAAATAAATAAATAAATAAATAAATGCATATAAATACTTGCTTTCCTCCCATTCCAGATCACCATCTTGATCTCATAATCAATTCATCTATTAGTATAAAATTAAATACAAAATATTTAAGGTTCAGATCTATGAATCAGCTTTATCTGTGATTAATGCCTCTATTGACATGGCTATTCAATGGCTTTAACTGCCCTTGTGTTTGCTACTGATAGATTTCAAAGTCATGATGGCACTGCTGCCTTGGTAAAATGGATAACATAATTTAATCACGAGAAAATGTATAAAGTCTGGTCTCCATAGGAGAACATGGCTTCCAAACCCAGAGTTCATACTGTAGCCCTCAGCACCGATGGAAACATCAGCTTCTAGAGCCCAAATGCCTTAGCAGAGCTGATGGTGCTGTTGTTATTGGTTCATGAAAAGAAAAAGGAGTCCTTTGAAATGCCTGTTGTTGTTTTTTAAAAAAGCAACTCTACCTTCATGATATCCTGTTTTTCTGGAACTGCACATTGCTGGTAGTCTCGATGACAGGGCAGCTTTTCTACAAACAAACTAGAAAACAAGACACACACATTTTCCACCTTGCATGTCTGAGAAATATCCACAACACCATTGTTTTCCTGCAGAGACAAAAGCTGGCTGCATAAATCGTATGACGCTGGACCTAGTGTTCCTTTTTTGATTCACAGCAGCTTTCTGTACCTTTGGATTTTAAATTACAACACTGCAGTTCCACAGTCGGTTCTCAGTGCACAATTGGTTTACTATTTACTATGCTGTAGTGCCACTCATTCTCATGCAGCTCTTCCAGAAAAATAATGCTTCTCAATTGCAGTCAATGCTATGTTTAGAATATATTTGTAAACTATAAAAAGGTAAAGGTACCCCTTCCCGTACGGGCCAGTCTTGACAGACTCTAGGGTTGTGCGCTCATCTCACTCTAAAGGCCGGGGGCCAGCGCTGTCCGGAGACACTTCCGGGTCACGTGGCCAGCGTGACAAAGCTGCATCTGGCGAGCCAGCGCAGCACACGGAAACGCCGTTTACCTTCCCGCTGGTAAGCGGTCCCTATTTATCTACTTGCACCCGGGGGTGCTTTCGAACTGCTAGGTTGGCAGGCGCTGGGACCGAACGATGGGAGCGCACCCCGCCGTGGAGATTTGAACCGCCGACCATGCGATCAGCAAGTCCTAGGCGCTATAGGTAATGAATAAAACAAAGCACTAGAACTATCCTTTGGTGTACCTACTTTCTTTGTTTGTTGTAATTGACAATGTAATTTTTCAATCCTTCACTCCCCTCCATTTCAATTCTTCTTGCCTCTTTCCTCGGGGGTACTAGCCCAGCACTGACTATTTCAATACTTCAACTGAAAACAACTTCTCAAAACTTAGGCAGGTGTCCCAGCCTGAAAAGTTGTGAACATTTAGACTGAAGGACTGAGGCTGGGACCTTCTGAGTGAAAAGCTTATGACGCTTGTCTGCATTCATAATGCAGCCTATTGTGTTAAGGTACGTCTGGGAACAAAACTGGGCTTGAGGAAGGGAAAAAGACTCTGCCAAGAGAGTGCCAGAAGCAGGCACAGGTGCACAAAAGGAATTCAAAAATGGCATAGCGAGCTTCCACTCATTCACTTGCAGGTTAGGGGATGGATTAGTGACTCAGCAACAGAAGCAGGTCTGGCAGCCTAGTTTATTGACACTATAGGAAACACTGGCAGGGCTCCCTATCCCCATTTACTGGCAAAATACTGCAGTTTCTAGTTCATGGAGGTTGCTTGCTAGAATGAAATTAGTCGTTGGCATGGCGATAGTGGCCGTTGTAATTGCTGGCTGCTTATTAAGGTATGCATTGGTTATTTGTACTGAAGATGCATGACAAGAGTTAAATAAAAAGCTGGTGTGTGTGTGTGTGTGTGTGTGTGTGTGTGTGTGTAGGGGGGAACACAGCTGTATTCAAAATGCAACATGCAAGATTAAATCACCCAGCAGAAATCCCTCATCTCAGTTTGAGCCCTAGCTTTGTGATGATGCAACAGCAGCCACATAGTTCTTATGTACCTCATTTCTGCACTTTCCCCGAGTTTTTACAACCATCAGTTTTAGCAAAATACTAGCTGAAGGCAGGAGTCAACTCCAGCAATGCATGGTGCAGCCAAAGCTCACACATTCTGATGAGTGGTGGCCTGCCCGATGAGCCTGTCTCTTCTCAATTAAAGGAAAGTCTATTAGGCTTTTCTGCATTTGAAAAGGTCTGGAAGGTTGCAGACTGATTCCTTTAATTTTGACTGTGAAACTGGGATGTATGGCAAACATGAGGCAACCCATGAAAACAGCACCCTGTGTCTTGTTTCTTCCCTAGCCCCTTTCTCAAATGCCAGATAGCCAACACTGTGCCCTCTAGATGTTCTCAGACTACAAGTCCCAACATCCCAGCCTGCATGTGATATTCCATGCATAATATTATATCATCACTCTCTGTATCCATGTAGATCATTGTCAAGGAAGGTTACAGAGTAATGAAATTCTTCTGTATGTTGAATATCCTTTATCATTATGGACAGGGGAAGGGACACAAAGCTGATGTTTAAGATGGTGGCCCCAAGTTTGCTGTAACATCTAACTCCTGATTTTTGAGTGCTCCATCTTTAAACATTAAAAAAAGGAAAACTGTCTTTCCCATAGATTAACACAATGGTAGAGGCATCAGGTAAGGATGAAAGGATGTCTATTTCCAGTTCATGTAACTTTTGCATCGAGTCTATTCAGTCCAATTTCTGCGTGATTCTGCAATTTCTTTTTTTTAAAAAATCATAGGAAAATGTGCATTTTCTGTACACATTTTACCGTAAAATACAATTTTAATAGGTTTTTTTACCTAAAATACACATTTTAGCCTAAAAGAGGCAGTTGAATACACATTTGCGCTAACAGCTATATCACAAAATTCAGAGAAGTTTGAAAATGGAAAAATAACTGTGTTCTGATCTGCATATTAATCCAAGAAGTGTGAATCAGGTTGGATCACTTAAAACATGGAGTGAACAAAAACTGTGAAAATCCCTAGCACCAGGTGAGGGTTGTGTTGTTTATCACTACTAAAGTTAACATACATTTTCTACCAGGCTCTGTGGCACTAGTGCAGTTACATTGCATGCAGTGTTCACATCACAACTGACATGCTAGCTGGGAGAAAGATGTATTTTCCAGGTATAATTACTGTTCACATGCTTGGAAAATACAGAATTTTGGAAGCAGAAGTTAGGAAAGCCTTCTGTGTGTCCTGTAACAAATGAGGGCATATTTGTTGAGCTCTAAAGTCATTGCCTAACAAGACCCCTTTTTTCAGACACGTTTGGAATCATTTGCTAGCACTCCACTGGCTTAAAATTGCAGTTTCTAAAAATTAAGATGAGCTTGATATCCATAACTCCAGACCAATCCTTACGTTATAAACTTATTATAGAGAACAAAGGCATTTTCAAGATTTCCTTCTTCCAGATATACAGATGCCATGCGCTCCATCTCCACTCCAGATCTGAAGTAGCGCCGTGGAGTAATGTCTTCATTTATTGTGATGTTACAACCAAGTTTGCTTAAGGCACGTACACGCTCCTCTGGGGTCAGTGAAACATCTGTGTGGTCAGGTATAGCTGCTAGCCTTTTCTGTTAAAACAGACAGCACAAATTGCATTTCACTTTGGTTATTGAACTTATCCAAGGAACTCGAGCTGAAATCTTGAGCCACAATTAGCAGTTGCAACCTACAGTTTCAGCAAGGTTCGATTTTGCTCCATCAGAGCTGTTGCAAAATAGTGGAGGGGAAATCCCATTAAACCAACCCCCAGCTACTCCATGCACATGCACACAACCACACTTTCAAAACCACACAACTTTCCAAAAATCATTTTGCTTAATGATGCAAGAGATGTGCACTTTATGCCCATTATGATATATTTTTAACAGCTGCTGATGTTCTGAAATGTTGTCTTTCACATTTACATATATGCAAGTCAGAATCATAAAGCTTTCAGTCGCCACTTTTTAAACCATCCGGAGCCACTCTGTTCGGCCTCTTTCATAAACAGGATGCAAGTGGCGCTGTGGTGTAAACCACTGAGCCTTGGTCGGCGGTCCCCGCTCCTGCCAACCTAGCAGTTCGAAAGCACATAGTGCAAGTAGATAAACAGGTACCGCTCTGGCAGGAAGGTAAACAGCGTTTCCGGGCGCTGCCCTGGTTCGCCAGAAGCAGCTTAGTCATGCTGGCCACATGACCCGGAAGCTGTATGCCGGCTCCCTTGGCCAATAAAGCGAGATGAGCACCGCAACCCCACTGTCATTCCTGACTGGACTTAATTGTCAGGGGTCCCTTTACCTTTAGCCACTCTGTTCAGCCTCATTCATAAACAGGAATGTAATATGGGAGGTTTGAGATATGATTCAGGCTTCAGCAAAGACATAGTGAGAAAGGAAGACTGCTGAAGAAAACACCAGTCCTGCATCTCTGCCTCCTCCTCGCAATTTAAGCACATGGCATCATACCACCATGCTGAGAGTTTCCCTGTGTCCCCAACTGGCAGCCACTTAAATGTAGCAAAGATATTCTCTCACTGTGATGATGTCTCACCATACGTTATGTATTAGTAGACATTATGGAGGGAGAGAAAAGAGGAGAGGATGGTCCTATTTTTAGCAGCAGCCCTACATCTTCTGTCATGTCTACCTCAAGCCTTAAAAGTTGTGATTTTTAATTATGTCTGGGCCTACCAAGGCTTTAAAGGAGTGGTTTAGGATAACTTATCAACAATGATATGATTATCAGAGGAGTTCAGTAAAAGTAAAAAGTTATGGACCAGATGGAGAGTAAGAAGCAGCACTCATAAACTTTTTTATTTTATGCCAACTCAATACATTTTGGAAAGATGGACATGTCCCAGGGTGTATTTTGAGCTTGAGTGGGATGCTTGCTTCACAAAAACCAGGGTTCAAGCCAATATCCACACCATTCAAGAAGACATGTCTGATAAGCAGCTTTCCATGCATCATGAAGCATCAGCCCTTAGCACTTACCAATGAACTTACAGTGAATGGTTGTTCCATGTTACTTTGTGCTTGCAACCCAAGCTTATTGTTCCTCTCCAGTCCTTCCATCTAGCCACAAAAATAGAATGGGAAAAGTTACAGTGCTCAATAGCAGTCTCATCCAACATCTCACACCAGTGACAAAGTTCCAAGGAAATATACTGACGATGCTCCTATCTTGTCAACAACTGTAACTAACCAGTATTTGTCTCTTGAAATATGAATCATGTATCATGAATCCATAGATTGGTACTTAAAGCATCATGGCTTTGCTAACCTGTATTTCGAAGGTAGCCATATCTTCTGGATATATACCTAGCAACTGCCCTGGAAAAATTGGGACATCGCCTTGTTTCATGTGAGATCATGGTGGCCATTTTGGGTGCCGCACTCACACACTGTGCTCTTGCCCCCTAAAAAGAGCTTTGGGGGGGTCGTGATCTCAAGCTTTCCCTGCTTTGGGGGCACATCAGGGGACTAGGATAGTTTTAAAATCCAAGCCATTTCCTGGTCCTCCCCTAGCACAGCCCCAAGCCCTCCCTGGGGCCATAAGATTCCACCCTAAACAAAGAAAACGAGTATACTTTCATGGTAGGCTCCTTCCTAGCAATATATCATATGTGACAATGCACTACAGCAAGAGCCAAGTTATCTGTTTTACTGCACAAAGTAAATATGTAAAGTGTAAGAAAGCATTTGTTCCTCCACTACTTTATTCCAAGCAAGACATACACTGTTATCATGCATTGGTAGACAGTCTTTAATACACCATACCTTAGGTCTGTTGATATATCCCTTTCATCATATAAATAACAGTAGGACTAACTACTTTTGGGGGTGCAATTTGCAGCTCTACTGAAATATACCTGTACCTGATTCACATAACCTTAACTCAGCAGAAAAGCCCTTGAGATCTCTCTTCATATAAACCAAGGCCATTATCTCAGAATGTCAAGCATGGAAATGTCAAGCATGTTGGAGCTTGATTCTCCAAAAAAAAGCCCTGTGAGCTCAGCAAACCCCCCCCCCCCAGCCGCATAAACCCTTTGAAGGCAAAGAAACAAAACGCAGGGTTTGAAAAAGGAACGACGTGATTAGTAACATCAACAGGCAAGTTTGCAAGCCTCATTGGTTCTGCCACCTGCACCCTGGTAGATTTAGAGAAGTGACAAAACCAGAGATCGGAAATCAAAGCAACAGAAGATGAGAGTGGTAAGCTGAAGGGGGTGAAATGCTATCTATAGATATCTTAGCCAGTAAAAATAAGCATATGCAAAATACTAACTCAAATTTACTAGGACTGTGAGCTACATGCTGATATTGTTCCATATTCTTTAAGAGGTGAAAAGTTCCAGGAAAATCACCTCCCAGGTTTTGCTTTCCTTTGGGGAAGAGAGTGCTGGAGACTGGCATTTTTATAATGTTTGGCTTATGTCCAAATATGCAAGCAGAGCATACATGAAAGCAGTGGTTGTCCTAAGAGGCAATATCTGCTATGCCACACCAGATCCCTGGAAAGGCACTGGCACTTCAAGATGCTTCCAGCCTTTCATTCACAGCTTCTCTCTTTTGTATCCTGCCCGGTTCAAAAAGTGGTTTCTTTTTCTCTCTTCACATGCACACACAGCAGCACATACCCCTCTTACATCAGCTGTCTTCCCCCTTAGCAGGGCAGGCGTAATGCTTCCAGCTCTGCTAACTCTTAGTCAAAACACTCAGCGTTCTCTAACTACTTCCTAACAATTAGCTCCCATTAATGAAAAATCTATCAACCGTTCTGGACCATTAAGCAGTAATTTCGCCTTGCAGCCATAAACCAGCATTATCACTTGATTATCCCAAGATGAAAGTAAGGGTTTATTCCAACTGAGCAATTCATATGTACTTCAATAATCTCCCCAAAATGTTGGAGAGTGGGCTTGAAAATTATTTTGCTTTGTTGTATGCAGTGGTGCTTACTGGTTGTTATCAGCACAGTACTATCAAGCTGCTGTACTATCATGTTTTGGAATTATTGTGATGCAATCTCAGTGCCATGCTCTTCACTCTGAGGAACCACAGAAATCCTGGCACATGAACCTATATTCTTATTTTCCAAAATAGCATCTGACAGGATCAGGCTAAGGTGGAATTGTAGACTGTGCAAAAATAGCTCTGCAAAGTTTCTGAAAAATCTTTTTAATAAGCATTCATCTTCTATCATCTTTTAATAGAACTGGAGTATCTAACTCCAGCACTCAGCCCCCTTCATTTCAACAAAACTTGCTCTGACTGCCTAACTGGCTTTTGCAAACTGAGTTGAAGGATAGGCTATTTATAGGTTGTTCAACAATAATTTCAGTAGAATGTATTTACATCATCTCTCTTTCCTAAACAGAAGACATCTGTGTCTATAAATCAACACATTATTTTCAAAACCAAATAACAATTCAAGTCATTCTGCTATCACAATGCTGACATTATCCAATTATCTCACCGTGTGCCATCTTCCTCCAAAATAATAAAAATACTGAACACTCAGTGTCCAAATAATATGATAGCAGAGAAAAAGCTGAGTTGGTAAAGAGTGCCCCTCAAAGATCTCTCATAATTATTTCATCACCTATTCTGAAAAGCGAAGTTCTCTCAGAGCCTACAGAGCCTGCAGGAGGCTGACTATATTACCACCATTTAGAGGGAAACAAGAATTTGCTTTGGCATTTGACTGGTCAAAATACTGGGCAAATTTAGAGCATTTCATTTTAAGAACAGTAATAAAGAATAATGGTAATTATGCTTATTATAAGAACACAGCTTATTATAAGAACACTCCACAATCGGTTTGCTCCCATAATCATGACTGTTTCAGAACACTTGATAAAACCTCACCACATCAAATGCAATGGATTTAGTGATAGTCCACTGATAAATGGGAACTTGTGACTTATGTGAAATTGCTTGTGTGTGTTGCTCCCTATTGAACTGTAAACCTGTACTGTTCAGAGCTGGCAGTGCAGCATCCAGGTAGGAGGAGAAGCTAGGATGGGGTGGCTAACTGTCCCTTTGGCAGTCTAATCCATGTCCTCTAAGAAAATGTTTCTGACCCCCCCCCCGCAAGACTCTACTGATTTTGGCAATTGTGGCAAAAAAACGGGGGTGGAAGGAGGCCACTTCATCATCAGACTGCATGGATCAGCTGAGGAGGGAGGCAGTGTGCCTATGGATGTGATTATAAGTGTGTGGAGCAGCAACACCTGTTCCAGAGGATTGGTCAAGAGTGAATGTGGCCCTTGACTGAAAAAAATAAAAATGGTTAGCCACCCTTGAGCTAGGTCATGTGGTTAATAGGAAGGTAAGAGCGTGGAATGCATTTAGAAGGAATTACAGGGCAGGTTGTAACTTAGCATTTGCGGGGCTCAGAAATAGAGCCTTTATTCTCAGCTGTCATTACTCAGAGTGGCCATTTTATCTTCCTAATCTGTCTGATTTATGCATAGAGGAAGCCCAGACATCCCAAGAACCACAAATCTGAGGAGCCTTGCTTACTTACAGAATTGCCACTTGGGTCAATTGACTGATCAAATATTGTCAACTGACTGTCCATTATTAGATGCAGTCAACTGGGAAACACTGGCCTGCGAGCGCTCCAATTGGAGAACAGCCTTTACCAAAGGTGTCATGTGTTTTGAAGATGCTTGAACTCAGGACAAAAGGGAGAAAAGTGCTAAGAGGAAGGCACGCTTGGCAAACCCTCAACATGATCAACTCCTGCCCAGAAACCTACTGTATCTCCCCACTGTGGAAAGACATGTGGGTCCAGAAATGGCCTCCACAGTCACTTAGACACTCACTTTTAAAACCGTGTTTATAGAAGAGAATCTTACTCGGCTGCAAGTGATCACCAAAGAAGAAGACGAAGATGCAGTCAAATATGATCAAATATTCAATGAAGTCAGGGATGCCACCACACAGGTGTCAGCTTAATGCCATAATAAATTAAAGAGGTTTTAGAAATTGCAGGAATGGAGATGCTTCCTCCTGGCCCTGCAGCAATTAGGGGCAAACTTGAAGGAAAGGAAAGTTTTTTTTTCCAGCTGGCCACCTAGAGTAATTGTGGGTAGTTTTCAGCCTTTTTGAGTCCATAGTTCCCTTGACCAACTACATTCTTTCTGTGGCACCCCTGTGGAGCTCAAGAGCTCAGTTATGTCTCCCCTTGCCTGCAGAGCTGGCAGCCTCTCACCCTTTTTCAAATACACTACCTTGTGGAGTGTTCCCTTAGCATCCTCTCCCTCTTTCCTCTCCCCTCTCCTTGGGAGTCCTCCAGGCAGCTGCTGCTGCTGCCCCAAGGAGAGGTGCCTCCTCACACTGCCTCCAGCCCCAGAAGCACCATTCGCCTGGGGAGCTTGTAGGCAGGGATGCTGCAACAAACAGCTGTACAATCCTTTGAGAGGTAGAGATGTGAGAGGGCATTAGAGGAAAGGAGGGAGGGAAGGAAAGAGGAACAAAGACCACTGTTGCCCCTGGCATCCCTGACCATCACTCAAGGCACCCCAGGGTGCCATGAAAGACAGGTTGAAAACCACTGGTGTATCTGAACAGGAAAGCAGTCAGTTATCAGTGGCAAAGACCACTGCCAAAGAATACCTATTATTCTATCTTGCTTGCTGCAGGAATGAGCATTACCTCTGTGATATCTGTTGTTAATTTATTTTATTTTAAATAAATAAAGGCTGGCCCTGATGCTCCAGGATAAAAGTAAAAAAGGACTATTTGCAGAATATTTAGCATTTATAGCAGAGCTTTCCAAACCGTGTGTCGCAACACGGAGCTGGAAAGGGGTTAGTTTAACCTAGGCATAGGCAAACTCGGCTCTCCAGATGTTTTAGGACTACAACTCCCATCATCCCTGACCATTGGTCCTGTTAGCTAGGGATGGTGGGAGTTGTAGTCCCAAAACATCTGGAGGGCCTAGTTTGCCTATGCCTGGTTTAACCTCTGGTTTGCTAGTAAAACTGAACTACTGTGTCGCAAAATGATGCACATCTAAAAAGTGTGTCACCAACATGAAATGTTTGGAAAACTCTGGTTTA